GGGAGGAATAAACATCGTTCAAGCACTTTCCATGGTATGTCACCTTCATTTTATACATACTGAGATTTTTTCTTAGTGAGTGGAAGCGAACGACTACAAAAATAAATCGTCCGTCCAGTTAGTCTCTCCTAACAGATCATTGCCCTAAATTATGGAACCCACAAATCCCCTTGACACCACAGAAATTTGTGTACCTTTCATCAACGTTTGCTGATCCCAAGACAAGCAGTCCACCTGGAAGCCCGCGCGCCCACATGATCAGCTGCGCGAATAAGTACGCTAAGACCATGCGCAAACGTGCCTGTACGTTCTGTAAAGCCAGATTCTCGCGGTGAGTCCCGCCGTATAATTTGAACTTCGGGATTTTACCCGAGACTGCAGTAAAAATTCCGAGAACAGCACTCACAGCGGCATCGATTGTGATCCCTGAATGGAAGTGAACGAATAAAGTAGGAAAGTTAAGGTTAAACATTTGCCCCTTGACCAACTTCAGTCATAACTGATGTCAAGCTGGTAAAAATATATCTATGCAATAAAAAAAATTCTTAGCCGTTCTCCCTGCCACAACTTAAGATTTCGAGTACCTTTTGAAATATAAGAGCAAATTCGCAATACATCACGCTCAAAGTCCCGCTGGCAAATTTACGAAGCAAGAGCCGGAATTCCTCTACACTGTGAAATTGATTAGAAGGTGTGAGCCGGTAGAGTATCATGCTCAAGGTGAACGAGTTGACAAAAAGAGGATTATAGCTCATCGGGCGTTTTACTTCCTGATAGAAGACGACATATAAAAAGATGCTGAAGATATTCGGACCTTACCCATGTGGTGACTGCCTATCTCCTCCGCCAGATTACTGGCTCTTTTCCTCGTTTCTTCGGAAGAATTTTCAGTTCCCATGTAGCACGTAACAAAGATACGCCCTGCAAACTCCTTGGGGTCAGTAGGAATGTAATTGCTAGAAAAGAAATCAGGAAAAGTAGAGGCCATATTCAATTGTAAAACTATCCAAGACGCATGCGTAATACATACAGGAAAACTGTACAACATGATCTAGCTTGTCAGAAAAAAAAAAAAGGGTTTGATTGTTCTTTTGTACACATTTTCTCATCCTTTGGACTCAAACTGAATTACATGAAKKYSCTWKKAYSCT